ACATTGTAATTGTCGATATGGGAAAAATTTGGCTCTTGTTTCTAATTTATGTAAAAAGTTTTGTTTGAAATTAACAAAAATTTAAGAAATTGTATATGTTTTCATAAAATTAAAAAAATGAATGTTATCACAAGAATTATTATAAGTTATAACTATAATTATACGAAAACAATAATTTTAAGGTTATGTAATAAATTATATTACATAGATACGAATAATTATATATGGAATAATTATATTTTAAATAAGTTTGTAAAAAACTATAAATACTTTCTTCCGTATCGTACGTTTACAACAATTGCAGTTAATGAAACTTTTCAAGATAAATTTATATCAAAAAATCATAATTTATTTGAACATCAAATCATACATTCGTATTTTGAAAATTCGATGCATTATGATGATACAATTTTTCCACGTATTAAAACACATACAGAAATTACGCGTGAAGATCTAAATGAATTGCAAATTACAGATTGGTCCAATAAATCCACAAATGAAATTTTTAATGCTATTAAAAAATTGACATATTCTTATTTAACTGATTCAAAATTATTAGAATTATCAGTTTACGACAACATTTTGAAAGTTTTTATTAAACAGTTACCAGTATTAGAAAATAAGCAAATAAAGATATTAATGCAATGTTTAATTGTATTAAATGATATAATAAAAAAAACGAGTATTTATAAAAAGTTTATGAAACAATTAAATAATGAATGTTTAAAACGATTTTATCCATCAAATACTAAAGAATTATTATTAATGAGTGATGCATTCTATCAATTTCAAGATAAAAATTCTGATTATTTATTTCGTGCAATAAGAAAATTAAGCTCGAAATCAAATAAACTTTCTATAAAATCACTAGTTCAATTGTTATTTTATTTAAATTTAACTAATATAGGATCAGCTATAAATATGTTTGAAATTGAATGTCTGTTAGAACAATATATGCCTGATCTTATTGTAAATGAATTAGGTATAATAGCGAGAAGTTTTTTTTTACAAAAAAGAAGCATTAAAAATAAAACTTTGATGCCACTTATAATTAAAAAAGTTTCTGAAAATATTAATAACTTGGATAGCATAACTTTAGCATCAATTATGAAACTTATTAGGTAAGTAATTTATTATGCGTAAATAATTTTTTATTGTATAATAATTTTATATATATATATATGTATGTATATGTATATGCATGTTTTATAGGTATAGTGAATGTATTCACTGTAAAGAAGAATTTCAACTTTTATTGAAGTATTTACGTGATATAATACCAAATTTATCATTACTATGTTTGATCCATATAGCACATGCATTTGGAAGTTTACATGTATATGATGAAATTTTAACAAATAAAATTATGGAAAGGTAAATTAAACAATAGAAAAAATATGACATTTAACTTATTTAACTTATTTATTTTTAATTTAGAATAGTAACTGAAATAAAAAGTGCAAGATTAAAAGATATTGAAAGAATTATTTATAGTATATGTACTGTTGCTCCTAATACAGATTACTATGCTGATATATATAAAAAATTGATTGAAGAAATAATAACAACTTATAAAACAACCAGAGCTTGTGAAATTGAAAAGTAAATTTTTTTTTTATAATATTATGTTACATATATAGATGATGAAATTATATTGATTAGTAATTTCTTTTATATATTAAATGTAGATTTCCAGCAACATTTGTACGCATTCTTACATTTTTAACAATGAAAAATATATATATACCAGAACTAATTCAATATATATTTGAACCTAACTTTATAAAAAAAGTATATAAAAATAATTTAAACTTGATAACAAATGAATGGTTAATTTTACATTGCTCAGTTGAAATAGAAATGCCTTATTACAAAGGACCAATGCTAAATAATAATATGTATAAATATTTAACAAAGGTATCATATATGAAATTAATATATTTTTTTTTAAAAATTTATAGTTAAATATATTAAAAATAATTTTTATTATTTTAGAAATTTTGTTGTAATGATGATATTTATAGAAAGGATAAAATTATAAAATTAAAGACTGAACTTGTACATTTATGCAAGGTATATATTTACAAAATTATTTAAAGAGAGATAATGCTTAAGATAATAAAATAATATATTAAAATAATAATATAATATATTAATCTTAATATTTTAGACAAAATTGGGAATAAATGTATATGTTGATTACATTTTACCTCATTATCCAAATAGAGAAATTATTTTTGGTATGGATAAATATAACAATTCTGTTAATATTGAATCTATTTTATCAGAAATGCAAACAGACACAATTAAAAGTGTTAAAAATAATAAGCATATAAATTGGAAAATTTTATTTATATTATCAAGTTCAGGAATTGTATTAGGTCATAATGATTCTAATGGATATATACAGAGACAACTCAGACAACTTAAAGCTATTGGATATGAACCAATTCTAGTAATTTCCAAAATTATTATTTTATATATAAATTCTTTTTTTATTATATATATTGTATTAATTTGAGATTCTTTGAATTTTTATTAGATTAATGAACATGAATGGATGTCATATATTCACGATGAAAAAATAGAATATTTAAAACAATTAATTTATCAAAAAACATAATGATTTTTAAACAAAATAATTTTCTTCATAAAAGAAAATTTTATTCGAAAATAAGAAAAAAAAAAGAAAAGGTAAATTCTTAGTTATTTATAATCTTTTTTTAAACTTCTTTGTAAGTATTTTTCAATAAATAAATATTGTTTTATATATATATATATATAAATATTTTAAATATTATATTTTGCACATATAATATGTAAAAATTTATTTATTTTAAGAAATTCTTTTATTTTTTTACAGAAAAATATGTAAAAAAATTATTTTTATGTTAAATATTTTCAAACTAATTTATTTTTATTTTTTTTCTTAGAATTTTTAAACAAAACAATATAATTTTTATCCATCAATTATTTTCAAAAAAATTGAGCATAAACCTTTTAGTATATTCATAAGTTACAAATAATGTAGCTGTTGCTGGTATTGTTCTAATTAATGTTGGTTTCAAACCACTGTACAAGGAATTGATACCTTCATTTCTTACAATATCTTTCATAACTATTAGTGGAGGAGTTTTCAAATTTTTTACCTTTAAAAAAAAATTAGAAATAAAATATAAAATCTATTTATATCTATAATTTAAATTGTTTAAATCATAAAATTAACCTGTATTCTACTTTTAACCACATCTGCTGGAAATATTACAAGCCATAAAATACTTCCACCAACAGCACCAGCTACCATGGTTTTTTGCCATCCTATATCATCTCTATTTTCATTTGGTTTTGCTAAAAGTTCCCTGGTCACTTCATAACCTCCAAAAAAAAAGAAATAACCAGGCATTTCACGTGCTATGGTTGATGACAACCCAGTAAATAAACCTCTCATGCCTTGATCTTTAAGAATTTGACGTGTCAATCCCCATGGTCCAATTTTTTTCTAAACAAGATATTTTTTTTCAAAATTTAATTTTCATGAATATTTATATATTAATTTTTCTTTTTTTTTATTTTAGTTATACTAACTTCACTTATTGATGATTCGCTTTCTATTTGAACTTCTTTTATTGCTTGTAGCTTACATTTTATAAGTTCTGTAGGACATAGTGTTAATGAAGAAAAAAATGCAGCAAAAAATCCAGCCCATGCATTTTGAATTGATGTCAAATCTTGTATTTTTTGAACACCTATTGGATATATATATGTATAGAAATTTTTTTTAGATTTAACATAGTGATGAATTGTAGTTTATTTTCTTATATTATTTTTAAAAAAACTATTTTACCCAAAATATTAGAAATAACTTTTTGACATCCTCCATATGCAGCAAACAAAACCGAATTTTCAGCAACATTAGCAACTAATGCAGGTATAGTTCCTGCATATAAACCATTCATTATTCCATCTGTCTTTAATGTTTGTAAAAAGCAATTTACCATTCCCTTATACATAAAAGGAAAAGTTTGCATTTTTACCTTTATTGTATCTAATGGTTGCCCAACATAAACAAGTGCTATCCCACCTTAAATACAAATAAATCAATGATATAGAATAAAAATGTATAAATTTAATTTTTTATTATAAGTAAATAATTTAATTTCTATTGATATCTCGATCTATATTTAAAATAATTATTATTTAATTATTATTAATATTTAAAATATTAATTTCTAATATTTAATAGCAATAAGGTTAAATGTAATTTAAATATGTTAGCTCAATTATATATAAAATGTTTTGAATAAAAAATTATATGAATTTTTGTAAAAAAAGAATAATAGATGAATTTTATTTTGCAATTTATTTTTTATAAATTCAAAATTATTTATATATTGAATTTAATATTGTATTTGAATATTATATCATATTATTACCAAGTGATCCAGAAACGAAGTCAATTAAACCAGCTTTAATATTTTTTAACTGTTGATTTTTTTTTTCATTGAATTCAAATGTCATTTTTGTATATCTAAATTAATAAATATCAATTAAGTAAGATCTAGAGAAATGACAAATTAGCACGTCTTGTATCTTATAATCTATTATCGAATAAGAAAGATAAGGAAAGTTCATTTGTTGATTAAGATTTAAGATACCATTTGTATTTAATATTCTAAATTTTTTATTTATACCATATAATTATTAATGCATTTGTCTCATTTTGCATCCACCAATATATATTGGCGCAAGCGCATTTATATTTAGACAAATTGATAAAAAATTATTCATTGATTGGTAACAATTGAAGTATTATCTAACTAATAACAAATTTTGAAGTTCTATTTTATATACAAATTCATATACATAAAAAATTTTCTACATTTTTACAAATTTTTTTATTTTACTCTATAATAAATCTTAATCTAATCATTTAATTGTGCCATGAATTCATTTTATATTTTTTAATTGCATAATACTAAATGTACACAATTAATAAAATAACAAGAATATATTTAACTTAACATCTATTATTGCAATATTGAAACTTAAATAATCTTAATCGAAATAATTACAAATTATAAAATATAATGAATATCATATCAGAACATTTTAAAAACCGTAAATGAAACCATCTGAATATTATTTTTATTATTTTTATAGAATGTTAGAAACCGGTTGTCATGGAAACAAAGTACCACAACATTTAAATTCTATATTACTAAATTAACTATTTTATTATTTAGATTTATCTTTAAAAAAATGGATTAGAATTTTCTTTGATATATATATATATATATGTTTCATTTTTACAATGACTAATGTAGATGAAATTATAATTTTAAATATATTATTAATAAATGTTTAAAACAAAATTTAAACTAAATTATCTTACTGAAATTCATATAGTTTAGTAAATCAAGAAAGTTACTAGATTATTGTATTCAAGATATATATGTATGACGTACGCGATAGTCTGTAGTTCCAAAACATGGGTTTTCTCTGTTATATTTTCAATTAAATGATTATTCTTTTTTTATTTAATTTAGTAAAGAAAACATTAAATTTTATTTATGGTGTAAAAAAATCATAAAATTTAATACGATGATCATTCTCTTTATATTACGAAAATAGGGAAAGTGTATACGGTATAGTAGATCTGCCATGATAGATCCGAACGCGTCTTCATCTTATTCCAAAAAAGTCAGAAATTGTTAGCAAAATGTGTAATTTTTGTTATCAGGAGAGCTTCTTAAAGGTAAGTTAATTGTTTGACGAAAATTTAATGACTTTGACTATTATTGAATATCACAATAAGAAGATAAATTTTCTTATTAAATTGGAGCGCAGCATGCCTCTAGGAGCGCTCTGGCTCGTCTGCGCCATTAGCGTTCAGAGCATGATCGCCAGATATTTCTATTATATTGTCAAAATAGCATATTATTGTGATGAACCATTTTTTTGAACTTATATCACTTATATTACTTCATTGTTTGATTCTTTTCCAGTTCGAAAAAAAAATTAAACAACTGATTAGTAAATGACATATCGGTGATTCGAAATTTTTAGTAGCGTATTCTTTTGAAAAGAATTACATTTTTTCATTATTTGTCCTTTTTTTATCCTTGTCCAATTTATTAATTTTTACTTTCACAACTAAAAATTTTATTTAAAATTAACATATTCATTCTTCTTTCTACAAAAATTGATTTATTTTTTTATTTTATTATATACTATTTACTTAATGCTGATAACATTTTTTATTTCATATTTTTATTTTTTCTATATTATAAGATTATATTTAAATTATTAGTTTTATTATTTCTTTTTTATTATTATATTTATATATAACAAAAAATTGTTTTTCATCTTTATTACTATAAAAATATAAAAATATATGTTATTTTTGATATTAAGAAAAAATGAAAAAATGAATATCAATTATAGAAAAATTTAATAAGAAAATTATTATTTTTTATATAATAATATATTAAAAATATATATTTGAAAATATTGCTTAAGATTTATTAATTTATTAATTATTTAAACTAATTGAATTAATTTTTTATTTCAATAGTAAAAGTACAGATTACAGAATGGTGGTGGATTGTCTATCCATTCAAGGCTCAGCAGCTATAATACGGAAGCAGGAGCGAAGATTAGGTGGGTTAGTGGCTGCAAAGATGCAACCTAACAATGTTGGTAGTTGTGGTGGTATGACACCTAAAGAACTGTCTGACAATGATGACCTAGCTACTTCTCTCGTATTAGATCCTTATCTTGGATTTACCACCCATAAAATGAATATCAGGTATATATTTTTAAATAATATATTTTTAAATAAATTTTCAAGACTTGTAACAGGAAATCATCATATGTAAAATTTATTTGACAATAAAGGTATAGACCATTAAAAGCAAATAAAGATGAACTCCGTAAAATTATTTGTGAATTTATTCAAACCCAAAATTATGAAAAAACTTATAAAAAATTAATGGGTGGTGATTGGGGTGCAAGACTTCCTCATACAAAATCTAAACAACAACAAATAAACTTAGAAAAACATGTGAGTTATACAGATTAAATATTTTTTAAAATTTCATAAAATTCTTTTGTAAATCAATCTTATTTTATTTTCTTTAGATTTACAGATATTTAAAAGTTTTTGATAAGGATTCTGGATTTGCAATAGAACCATGTTATAGGTATAGTCTTGAAGGTCAAAAAGGTGCCAAAATTTGTGCAACTCGAAAATGGTTAAAACATGATAAAATATCTTGTCTTGTTGGCTGTATTGCAGAACTTAGCGAAAAGGTTTGTTTAAGCTTATATATAAAACATGAAGAAAAGTTTAAAGTATTTTTCTTAATTTATTATATTTATAAAACGCCATTTTAGGAAGAAGCAGCATTATTACATCCAGGAAAAAATGACTTTTCTGTTATGTTTAGTTGCAGAAAAAATTGTGCACAACTATGGTTAGGTCCAGCAGCATATATTAATCATGATTGTAGAGCTAATTGCAAGGTTAATGAATCTATACAAATTATTATTATTATTATAATTATATTAACTATGTAAAAATATTAATTTTCATATTTAATTTATGTAAAATGCAGTTTGTGGCAACAGGAAGAGATACAGCTTGTGTTAAAGTTCTTCGTGATATTGAAGTAGGAGAAGAAATTACTTGTTTTTATGGAGAAGATTTTTTTGGAGATGGTAATTGTTACTGTGAATGTGAAACATGTGAAAGGAGAGGAACTGGAGCATTTGCAAATCAAAAACCAGGAGAAGAACTTTCCTCTGGTATTTTTAAATTCTGATGAATCTGAAATAATTAATTATTAATTAAATTAATATATATATCTTTATCATGAAATTCTTATAGGATATCGTCTACGAGAAACAGACAATCGCATCAATCGTACGAAACATAGACAACAACCATTAAGTCGTAATAAACAACAAGCTGATACAGCACTTACAGAGAAAAATGCAGTCCTTGTTGGTAATGCTGCAATAGCACCACAAAGTCTTAGTATGAAAGAGTTAAGAAGAAAGGGCTTAACAAAATATGATGCAGAATTATTAATTGCACAAGGTTGTCGATTTTCTGACATTGCTCAACAACAACCTATTATAAATAATGGAGAAAATGTATTACAAACATCTCGACCTCATCCTTCTGCTATTACTACAAATTCCGTGTCAAGAAATCTTCGAAATAAACAATTATGTAAATTTGACAGTGATAATGGTCATCAGAATAATATTAAAAATCATACGCTTCGATCGTCCAGGTAAGATTTATTTATATTTTATTTTATGATTCAAAATATTGTAATTTTAAAATAAAAAAATTATTAATATTAAAAATAATGTAATATTAAAAAATAATATTAAAAATTTCATATATAGAATTCATAAAAGAACAGAATCAAAGAAGAACAAAGTTTCGGAAAAAGTTGAATCTCCTTGTTTAAATGGTTCCATAATAAAAAATATTGAATTAGAAGATATAAGTCATCGTAAAGAAGATTCTGATAGAGTAGATGAAGAAATAATGTATTCTAGATTACATAAAACTCATTCAAGGAGTACTTTAAATGAAGAAACTAATAATATTTGCCATGTTCAGACTTCATGTCATGATATATTAGAACAATCAACCTGTTCTAATCTTCAAAGAGAATGTTCAGACACATTCATTAAAAACAATAGAGAAATAAATAGCAAATTGATAAATGAAAAAGAAATACCTGATATTATTGTAGAAATTAATTCTAATTCAGTAGATAATATTAATACTTCCAATTCTAAAAAAGAACACTATAGTACAAATTCCTGTGATTCAGTTCATATAAGTTCCATGCCTGAAAATCGATTAGATGATTTACATGAAACTAATAAAAACGAAATAATTTCGAAAGAAAATCATCAGTCACGAATTGGTCATTATAATTTATCTTTAATTGAAAATTGCAAAGATATAAACAATATTTCTATTACGCCAATAAAGTCAAATGATTGTGTTAAAGAATATTTAGAATTTGAAAGAAAAATTTTAAAGGAAGAAAAAGAAAAAAATTGTGAATTCGTGCATAAAGATTATTCTTACAAAGATGAAGAACAAATATGTTTAATTCACTTGAAATCAGCTAAAATTTCAAATTGTATAGAAACTGATACAACAACACCTACATTTGATATACTTGAATCTAGCAAAGATATAAAGAAAAATGATTCTACGAATTCAAATAAATTGATTAAATATTTAATAGAAAATGAAACAAATAAATTTGATAGATTTGATTCAGACTTTAATAAGTCTTCAAATAATACTGAACATGGTAAAATAAATTTTATTAAAGAAAATACTATTATAGAAAATAATAAAGGGAATTGTCAAAAAGATTTAATCATGAAAGATAATATATATGTAACTAATATTGGAATGTCTGAAATAAAATCTGATAAAATTGGAATGATTGAAACATGTACAACAAATCAAGATTCTCGAACAGATTCCTGTAAAGAAAATAAAAATTTCAGTAGAATGGAAACTATTAATTATGAGATTAATAAATGTAACATACAAGATACTCATAATTCTATTTTAAAACAACCTGTGCAAAAAA